TGTTTTTGTATACAACTCAACTACCTATGTAGAATTGAAAAGTTTGAGGTTAACCTCAATTGTATATTGAGGATGTACACATGTTAAACTACACAATATATACACAGAGAGAGATGGACGGAGAGTGGGAGAAAGGAAAAGTTGGTAACCACGTTGAGTATAATAATCTGTCTGAAGAATCACCCAGATTACAATTGAATTTTCTCATACAGAGATTACAATGAATCCAAAATTTACCAACGAATATGAGTTGTAATTTCAACTAGAATGTTCAGCTTACTATAGCAAACTGATCTGTATTATAACAGAATAGCTCAGTTCAATAGCAAACGGTTTCATTGAATGATGCAACATCTTTGTTTTGTAGCTCGCAGATTTCTTTCAATCTACTGATTTATCAGCTAACTTTTCACGTTGAGGTAAACGACGGTCTCTAAGTATCCATAATTTAGTTGTAAATATTGAGAGCGAGACTATTTTTCATCTAATGATTTCATTCTATTACTATTGAGTAAATAGTATTATGTTTAAAAATGATGCCAAGTAAAAAAAAGAACCGTACTGATCAAGACCACTCAATAAATAATAACACATATGAAGTATTCCAATATCTATTTGTTTAAATCTAGAATACATCTGCGTAACCAATAAGTAAAAAGGGTTTTCCAAAATAGAAAAAATATTTTAAGCTTCAATTGGAAAGGGTTATTTTGGAATAGTTTTTTTAGCCACCTATGAACTGAAAATTGACTAGAATGTTAAATGAAATAACTGCAAAGCTAAAACCTTCAATCATTTATGTTAAAATATTCACAATATCCTGTATCTTAATAAATTTTTCATCAACATGAAGTATTGTTACTAGTGTTAATGTTTTATGAGTTAGAACTATTGATTATTTCTATTCCTTTATTGTTTATTATGTTAATTTCATCCTGACGTGCTAATACTTGGTGTGACAAATTGACTTAACCCATATCTTTGCCAGTCTCTACATATGACTGATTGATTGACTGAATTAGTGTTGATACAATATAACTACATACAATCACTTTACCAGTCAATTTGGTTGTTTGCTTTTTTTAATTCACGATATTGCATGAAATCCACTCTGTCTCTAACCACAGATGCAAAACGTATATGAGAGAGTGAAAGAGAGAAAGAAACAATCGTTTTTATATACATAAAAATTTTGAAACCTAGATGATAATAAGGCTTATGTTAATTAACTTTAAATATCACCGTGAAAGTATGTACCACTCTAAAATATTCATAAGAAAGTTCATTATATTTGAGTTGTGTTTTTCTTTTTGTTACCTATGCCCTGACATTTGTATAATCACTTGATATAAAAATTAGTGAAATTTAATAGTTAATTCTGTATGATTAAAAGAAAAAAAAAGTTAATTGAACTTGTTCTATCCTGTATAAGTTTAGATGAATGTTTTTCACAGGGTATTGATTATTATAATACATTATTTATATGTAGAACACTTTCTAGGCTTACAGATGTAAATAAATAATGAATGTAATATAAGTTACTCAAAATGACATTCTATATGAAGTACATAATGGAATGAATTAATTTCTTGTTAAAACTTATCTAAATAAATGACTAATTAAAATCTACTTTTAAACAAATAAAAACATATATATTTACATGAGTCATATCTATGTAACTCTTATAGAAACAGAACCATATAGTTAGAATATGTATAATATTGTGTATTTTGTTTCATTTCAATAATAAAGTTGAATCTTTCGATAAAATTATTCTACATCAGGAAAATAAATAAACAAATATATCCTAGATTCTGCCGTTATAGCCAAATATCAAAAATATACTGATGACGTAAGATTAGAGGCTAATTGATGGAAACTTGCTTAAGACGAAAATATTGCAGCAGGCATTGATCAGTTGTATCCCTGAAAGTTATAAACTCTTATTTATATATTAAATGTTTAGAACGATACAGAAGCTTTGTAGAAAATACATTGGATCAATCTGTCAAACATTTCGGTGATACCATAACATGAACAACAAAAACTACAAAGATCAGACTGATCCATTACTTTGCTGCACACAAGATCAACTGGGTTCTATTTTTCGAGGCTCTCTAAGATCTTGCGGGATGCCCTATGTGTATGTTCAAGTACATGAATTGCATGAGTTTTGACTTGTGTAGTTCATGTACGAAGGTGTATTGAAAGAGTATACATGTGGGTTAGCACAAGGGACGTAGGCTGAAAAATATCTGTTCTATGTCTAAAAAATCAGCAGCTTAATTCTTCAGGTCGAAGACATAACAAAAACATGTGGTGGCAAATAGGAGGGAGAGGTGACCACCAAACTTCCGTGGTGCTATGCTTATAAGTATGTCATAAAGTGCAAGGATGAAATCCTTAGAATCATTTACTTTTCCAAGTGGGCGAATCTACCTTTATGTATGCTATGGGATGCATGAGTGAAAACACGTGTGTTATCGGTGTGGATGTAACGTATATTTTCTCAAAGCGCAAGTATACCAACGTGTATGCCAAAGGATGCATGAATGCAAACTCGTGTTACCGGTAATCACGTAGACTATACTTACTCCTCGTGCGACGATCGCGAGCTAAAATCTTGGGGTAACGATTTACCCACAAAATCACATCCATGTGGTAAGTTTCTGAGCCATGAAAGTTGAAATCATTTCCAGAAAAACCAATCTCAGTAACAATTAGTAAAGAAATTTTCTCACAGACAACAAGCTATCGAAAAATAAATAGACACTGAAGACCACTGAATAGTTATTCCCTACATTTGATAGACTGAAATGGAAAAACTGTTTTATTTGATCACTAATTTTATTCTTCAACTCCTATGGGCCGACAACATTCATAATTAAATCCCAAAACATAATTCAACCCAAGAGCCATCATTTGAACATATAATTAAAATTTGATAACACAAACATAGAGTTTTGAACTGATAGAAAAGATTTGTTGCTCATGTGAGAACTACAAAGGCAACACACTACTGTCAGTACCAGGAAACCTTTTCAACAGAAAGTTACTGAACTGGATGAAAGATTCAGTGGACGTACAACTTTGAAATCAACAGGCAATATTCCGTAACGATCGGTAGTGCACAGACCAATTCGCGACACTACGCATCATTGTTGAACGATCACTTGAATGGAACTCGTCACTATACAGCAACTTACTTGATTATGAGAAAACATTTGACAGCGCAGATAGAACCTTATACAACATTCTTCAATACCATGAAGTACCTGAGAAAATCGTCATCACCATACCGAATTCACACAACGGACTACAATGCAATGTCGTGCATGGACGACAGCTGACAATCACATTCCAAGTGAGCACCGGGGTCAGACAAGACTGCCTACTCTCCCCCTTGCTCTTTCTTCCGGTGGTTGACTGGATTACAACGACCTCTATATCTGGCGAGAAGCACGGAATACAATGGACAGCTTGGATGCAACTAGACAATTTGAACTTCTTAGATGAAACAGCCCTTCTATCCCATACACATCAAGAAATGCAGTTCAAGACAACCAGTGTAGTAGAATTCTCTACAGCAGTAGGCGTCAACATACGCAAGGGAAGAAAATAAAATCTTCAAATACAACACGGAAAACACCAACCCAATCACACGTATCAGAGAAGCTCTGGAACAGGTGGAAACGTCTACGTTTATGGACAACATCATCAATGAACGTGGAGGATCCGGTTCTGACGTAAAGGAGAGGATTGGTAAAGCAAGGGCAGCATTCCTACAATTGAAGGACATATGGAACTCAAAACAACTGACAACCAAAATCAAAGTCAGAATCTTCAATACAAACGTCATGACAGTTCTACTGTGTGGAGCTGAAACTTGAAGAACTAACACGCTCATCATCAAAAAAGTACAAGTATTTGTAAACAATTGTCTACTCAATATCCGTTGGCCGGATACCATCAGCAACAGCCTACTGTGGGAGAGGACAAGCCAGCTTCCAGTTGAAGAGGAAATCAGGAGTCGTTGGGAGTAGATAGGACATACTTTGAGGAAATCAACAAACTACATGACGAGGCAAACGCCAACTTGGAATCCTGAATGGAAACGGGAAAGAGGAAGACCTAAACCACAATGCACCGAAAATTGGAAGTAGACCTGCAAAGGATGAATAACAACTGAAAAGAACTGCTCAGGATAGGGTTTAATGGAGAGTGCTGGTGGAAAGCCTATGTTCCTCCAAGAGGGTTAACAGGTGTAAGAATATAAGTAAGTTCATTGAAACAAGTATGCACTTGAAAAGTGATTTTAAATTTTACTTTCTTTTAAAAACACAATCTTAATGTTGCCTAACCTGGACGTGCAAAATGAAACACCTTCACTTAGAGAAAACGATACCATTAAAAAGATTTACACGAACTGCAAATTTTTCCTACTATTTCGGTAATAAGTTCTAGCACGGCTTAATCAAGCATTTCAGTTTAAACCAAAATGTCTAGTACTGAAAAAAATTGAAAGTTGTTCTCTCTTCATCAGACTTAACCAATGATACATTTTAACATAATACACTACAAACGCTAAGATTAATGAGATAGCTTTCTTTAAAAGAAAGATTCTAGGGAAGTATTTGTTTCCAATAATGCATAAATTCATAGTAACGGTTCATGGAACAGATGAAGCGCTTTTATTCAGAAGCGGTATTTAGTATAGTGCCATTTGTTTGGTTCCTAAATAATTTACAGCACTCAAGTAATTTAAACTAAGTATGAATGTAAGTAAAGCTTAGTATGCGGCTTCTCAAAATATCCAAATTCATGTTGTAATGGGATACATAGGTGGAATAAAACTACAAAAATGTAACATGTGTGAACAAAATGATAGTAACTAAGTTCCTGAGACAAACACTCAAACTAGATTAATGTTTTAAAATTTAACAATAAAACTAAGCAAAATCTAGTACGATACAAATACAACCATATGCAATGCAACGTACCAAGATTATTCTTCATGCTACGTTTTTCATCGAATGGAGTACCGCGTATGATTAAATCATAAATTCTAGTCCATCCCTCTTTGTCTGACTGGAAACTCCATAGCAAACTATTGCCAACAAAACCGGTATGTGAACTGTCATATTTGCTACAAGCAGGTATGCACAGAGTAGACGTTTGTTGATATGTACAATTGTACAAAGATCCAAATAAACTTGTTGTGTTTGTATCGAATCCATAACCAATGCTTATAGTTTGTTTAAGATTTTCAGGTTGATCAGCTGTTACGAACACGAAATTTTGAAACTTATTATCATCGTTCAAATGGTCATTGCAAATAAAAACTAGTATATAAGTTTTATCACCTGATTGTAAAACAATAAAATCTCTAAATACCCCATAAGTTTTAATTATGTCATATCAATAGTGGCAGCTCTTGGTATCAGAATCAGTAGAAATGCATATTTCTATGAGAAAAAACACAAAGTAATGAATGTTTAATGTTTCTTACATATTAAAAAATAGCTTTGTCAGGTGGAAGAATAACTTTGCCATATTTACGTTATTCATATTATCAATCAAATTATCTGAAGTAAACTAGCTACAGTGCAAATAAATGTTCATAATGTGCCTTTGATAGATGTTTGTTGGTAAGTTTTGTGGTTGGAAGTTCATCTGTTGGTTGAAATAAAATGCTTGAAGTCTGTAATTTACATGGAACAAACATATTACTAAGTGCTAGTTGTGATCTGAAAGTATAGAAGTAATTTGAATAAACTAGACCTTTTCAAGTGAATATACGCTACAAACTTTTTGTTACACTAAATACTAATGCTGACTTGAAGCTCTTTTTGTGTTGTTTGTTGTATCCAAGAAAGCTAGCCTATAACTTGTGAGAAAAGCGAACCACATAAAAAACACATGCTACTTTTCAGTAGTTTAGAGATATTAAAGGCATAGAACATGTTTGTATAGGAAGTTTTAAAACACTAATCGAATGAGTTTTGTGCTTGATTACATTTGTCCTTCAGATAAATGTCCCAGTTTCATTTTAAGTCAAAGATATCAGATGTGACAGATAACTTATTTTACTACGCACAAAACTATATACAAACACTTCTACTAAAAAATTCAAATACCAGAAACCTAAAAATTTAAACAAATCTTTCATCCCAACAAATGCTGATCAAAAACAATTTATAGAATTCCCAAGTTTATGGTACTTTCAGGAGCATACTTTGATGAGAGTACTGACAATCTCACCCAAAACAGCTCAACGATTCGGAATACACGTATTTTCGAAATATCTAAAGTGCAAGCAATCATGCCGTAAATAATTTTTCAGAAACTTTGTTTACAAAGCTACTTATTAATTTAATTTCAGTGAAAATCCAGCAGAGCTGTTCAAACGGGTCATTAGATATTATGCCACATGACACTAAAAATTAAGTTATTACTATGATTTCTCATGAAAAGGATTGTCTTAACTCTAGCTTTCTTTCATATATAAACAGTTTACCGGTCAAAACGTATCTCAAGTTAGTAAACCTGATTTATTCACTTTCTAGATCCACAAGGCATTTTGTAATTAATTAGGTTTAAATAACAAACCTATTCAGAAACTACACTACGTAATGATCCAAGGACCAAGAAAAGTATGTGAACAAAATATTTTTAAACACCTCAATCTATTTTTGGTATATTTTTGTGGGCTGTGAGTTAGTATTATCTTGCTGCACAACAAATGATGACATTAATATTCAAATTTGGATTTTATTTCTTCTGTATAATCTGAGAGGATGTTATCTATTAAAAATCATGACCAACTAGCTTACGTTTAAAGTTTTGTAGTTCGTATTGAAAAGAACTAGGATCTTAAGTCAAAAGAGATTGAGTTAGTAACTACTGGTGAAACATTAGAAGGGATATTGAATTTTCTTTATATTACAAATCTTGAGGACTATATGGATCAGTCACATGGGCTTCATACATAATCAGAGAAGACTAATTTCGAGGAGCATTTAGTTGTACAAAGATCTGTAAAAACGTATAACACCTATCAAATGTGGTAAACTACAAAGTAGGTCTTTCATTTAATTCCACCTGAATAGAAATAAAAGACGGATCAACACATTCAAATACCGTATCTATAAAAACGTAAGTAGAATTTACGTTGTAAATGAAACGAAAAATTCTAATTTTTACCACACACTACGTAGACGACATTGGGTCTATTATTTGAAATAAAACTCAAGAGCTGCTGATGATAATACAGTGTCATAATTACGTATATATTTGAAAAATTGGGAGTAGTTTAGCAGCACTAAGTTAAAATCATGGGGTAGTAATTTGGACGCTTGACTTCCATATCTTTTCATTCATTTTCAAGCAGGACGTCCCCAAGTACTATGATGTTATCGGACATCAAGTACAACATATCTATAAGTCACTTCCGTCTTATTAAAGAAAATATTTTCTCGAAAAAATATTTTTTGATGATACTGTAAAGTACACCGAAGACAACATATATATTTAAATGGAGTATTGTTTTCTAAGATAGATGGATTGGTCGCGGAGCCTTCATCGTTCTTCTGAACGACAACATCAGCACAAACCTAACGTATATATATGCGTATATATACATCAGATATAAGATTCGAGGTGAAAAATCCGTTATAAAGAAAGAAATAATTACTATGGCTTCAAGTTAACATCAAACTGTTTAATTATTTGCTTACAAATACTAGTGGCCCAATCTCCCTATTTTGAAGAAATTTGGGGGGTTTCGAGCCGTTTCCCTAAAAACTTTGATGGTGGATTCTCCGAAATTTCCCAAAAACAGTCGAAAAATTCCCCAAAATCCGGAGATTGGGAGAACTTACTTTTACCAGTACTGTATGTAATAATTGATAGTAAAGTCGATGAAAACTTTACGACTTACAAGTGATCTCCACTGAACCAACTTGATATAGTCCGCCAAGATCAACGATCAGATAAACCTTTTGATTTAGTTCAGCATGGAAAAGCCCATGTGTGTTTTTATCGTTATCAAACAGGTCTTGTAATTGTCTTGCAGCGAGTATCTTCGTCAAAAGCGTATGGCCATGTGCTTTTATATCAACTAGGTTAGTTGATGATAAATAAGATCGCGTGTTGGAAACGGAAGTAAAAAGAAGCAGGAACAACTGTAAGTAGTACATGCTCAACGACCTTAACTTCAATCAAAATCGTTCGAGCGTCAGTAACGTTACACCAGTAACTAATTAAAACAAAATCAGTGTACTCTTAAGTAGTGTTCTAAAGATAACGCCAGGACACAATTTTCATCTTCACTTATTTTCCAGCTGAAAAAGTCTTTAAAAATATCGATATGAATTTCTGCTTTTCTTCTTAGATAATGTTCTTTTGTGGCGTTGTCTTAAAATTATGGATGAAAGTTCTTAGTCTTCAATCTTCAGCAATAAAATAGTTGATCAGTAGACCTATGCTAATCCTTTCAGCTTGTTTATTAGCAAAGATCCTTCTCACTAATGGAGCTGATACCACTCGTTCAATAGTTCACTATAGGCATTTGGCACTCCACGATAAATAACTAAATCCTATTCTACATTTATTTGACTGTGGTTTTGATCCTTCTTCCTATTACATTAGACGTGATTATATGGTCAGTGAAGTGACTATAACTTTCGAAAAACCATTTTTAAAACTTGGCTAAAAGCATTTAAAAAGAATTCTTTCGTCTTTAAAAATAGTTTCGTTGTAAAGCTTTCCGCGAATTTCAGGATAATACAGAATACTACGACTAATTACCATTGCGATAGATATAATGGAGCATCAGAAGAATGGTAGATTTCGTCACAAAGTTTGCACTATGTTAATCATTAATTAAAAACTATGTTTTCAGTCCGAAACTTACAGTGAACTTGAAAACCAACTGTGAAAAACAGGTAGAGCATCTTTAAAATCAAACAAAACTAGTCCACGATGCTCTGTGTTTCACGTGCTATTTCTATAAGTATCACTTTACAAGCTTATCGGGCAGTAACGAATTATAGACCGTGGGTATGCATCGATGCAACACTTTAAATAAATATAGTATAGAGTATTGGTTGCTAATCAAAGTATGGGCATGAAGAAGGGTATAATAAAGGACAGATGATTACCAAAGTAGGCGGAAAAGTTGAAGGATATAATAGTTTGAGAAAGGGCAATGTGTGATAAAATAAAATTAGTGTTAAGTCAACATGGTGCAGTTGAGCGTAGAAAGCTGGAGAAATCGTAGGAGGCGGTCTTATCAGATGATGGTTGAACTAGGAGTGTTAGGAGCTCAATATATGCATCCAACTAGTACTTTACATTCATGAATGTGTACAGTAAGCCATATCGAATCAGGTAGTTTGCTGAGGATATCACCGCTATAGATTTCCACTCATATTTCTAGATGAATATACAAGACAACCACCACCCCTTCTAGAGAATCGATCACAGCCGAAGAATTCATAGGTGTTTATTTGGAGGTATGAGTCTGTGACGTCGGACGGCAACCGATTTCCCGCCGTCAAAACAAGTTAAGGGTACTCTTATTTTGTACAGATTGAGTATTGATTAACATAAGTGTCAGATACGGTGATTATTTGTTTAGTAGAAGGGTTTGATATAGCCCTAGTGGATTATCTGTTATGTCATTAGGAGAAGAGGAAGATGTAAGAGTACCAGCTCCATATTCGAATTCGTCTGGTTTATCATCAATATGACTAACGGAAGTGTAGCGGTAAATAGATCGCCAAAACAAGTCGTCCTATAAGTCTTGGACATCTGATGCTGAGTGCATTAGTTTTAATAAACCCACCTAGCTGAAGGCGCTCGGTCACACATCCACACCAGATCACAATTGGGTACGCTGTGTTACACATCTCCTACAACCGCCAGCCAGCTTAGATTGATCACTTCTCGACGTTTCGATATTCTATCAAATATATCTTCCAATCTCTTCGCTCCTGACTTCTGATTTAACTGGATTGGCACATTTCAATTATAAAAGGTGTAAATGGTTAAGGCGTTGGCAAACTCCCAATACTTGTGGCATCTTTAGGAGAAAAGTATTCGAAATGTAGTTTTGCAAAGAAAATATGTTTACGGCGTTATTATGAAGTGAGACAAGAACCACCTGCACCTACAAACCCAGTGTCTGTTTCCGGATTCTCAACAGAAAGATTTAAGGTGGTAGAGATTTTGTCAAACTTCCAATGAACAAGATATGCTTAAGAACAAGTTCTTCTTTTGCATTCCTCCAGTTAAATGGAAGATTTCCCTGATGATTCCGTCAGTCCTTGTCCTAGTCTTGTCTTACGACCCTGACGTTATTCAAGTCTAATAACTTCCAGTTCTCAAGAAGAGTGATCACAATGTTGTTGTGATCAAGCTAATTAGGATTATATTAAACCGAACTGATAGACACATTTGTTCTTATTTTTAGAAGATCTGTTCGAGAGCTATCATGTCGACTTATTTTTCAGACCGTAGGCTATGCAGAAGTTACTTATTATCCCTTAAAGTTCAGAAACGTGGTAGTCTTCATCAATTTCAGTCTCATAAATTCGACAGCACCATAAATTTCAGTTGTTCTGGTCGTTCATTGACAGATTAAACGATAAAAAGAGGAACTTGGTCTTATTATTCAATTTATACTGAGCAGCCCGTAGTCCTCAAGTTCATCTAGAAAGCGAACTGAGAGCAACCCTGAAAATACAGTTGTGAAACTCTCGAGAGGAAATTTTAGGAAATCATTTACGACCTGCATGAGCTAATACTATGTCAATTCCATATAGGTTATTCTAGCCTCTGAACAGACCAATATATTCTTTCTTCTCAAGCCACGTTTACACCCTTTCACTTATTCGTTTATTGACTCTGACTGGATTTTTATTTGGACGTTTGTGTGCTAAGTACTTACCCAATTCATCATGTGTCTGTAACGTATTTTGCTTTGACACTACACATGAAGTCATGCTTGGTTAAATTTAGTTGACTCACTCGCATTATCCACTGCACTTCTCAGCAACTCACCTCACTTCCTTTGATGCGTTTCCCTGATTATATGTCCACGTCAATGACTATACGAAATATAGGTATTCAAACTTCATTCTCGCAACTAAATCATTTTAATTTCGTTATTCACTAGCGCGTGTTAAGTCAATGATTAAATACGAGGTTAGCCAAGATGTATATTTCGAAAGCAGTCAGCAAACAATCAGATTGGATTCAGATACTTGGTCACAAAATGCCTTCAATGAGGTCTCATCCTCTGTATAATAAGGATCATGTTTTCAGAATGAAATATTTTTAAGATTAGAACTTTTTGACTCTAATGTAGGAATGGAAAACATACTAGTGCTTCTCATTGAAAGCCTGTAGGTCTCTGAAAATCTATTTCTGAAATGCAAGTTTTTATAATGTTCAGTATCGTAATAATAAGGGAAGATAACTAAAGCTTTTATAAATTTCATTACGTGTAGAACACTGTCATTCTGTTAGCCGTTTACCAAAACTTGTTTCAAGTCTGTAGGTTTTGTGAATCGTCATGGATGGCTGCAAAACATTTCAAACTATGAAGAACACGTATCGAGTAATATTTAAAAATGAAAAGCACTGTTAGGGTCTGACGTGGTCTCTCTGATCTATTACTAATATCCAGTTTCCTCTGTTATATCGCAGTACTGGTCCATTTTAGAGAAAAAAACTACGTCTTGTTACTTCTGGCAGACAAAAACAATAACAAATCTGATTAAACAACTGTGTGGTAGGTCTAGTCGTCCCGATCATCTCTGCTGCGAAGAAATAACTGCATCCACACGACATTTTTTGCTACGAAAACTAGAGGTAAAGTTTGAATATCACTTGACTTCCACGTCCTACACTTGTGCAGTATACATATACTCATTTTTATTACTTTGCCGGAACTTAAAGTTTGTGTCATTTTTCCTTTATTAAATCATATACTACCACTTAATCTATTTAGTAACAACATCACTTAATCTCCAACTTCAAGGACGACTTTATTATTACTTACTTACCAAACTACTTATTGAGCCTACTTCTCCTCGTCGGGGAGCATAGATCGCCCGCCAACATTCTCCATCCAGCTCTATTCTGAGCAGTCCTTTTCAGTTGTTATTCATCCTTTGCAGGTCTACTTCCAATTTTCGGTGCATTGTGGTTTAGGTCTTCCTCTTTCCCGTTTCCATTCAGGATTCCAAGTTGGCGTTTGCCTCGTCATGTAGTTTGTTGATTTCCTCAAAGTATGTCCTATCTACTCCCAACGACTCCTGATTTCCTCTTCAACTGGAAGCTGGCTTGTCCTCTCCCACAGTAGGCTGTTGCTGATGGTATCCGGCCAACGGATATTGAGTAGACAATTGTTTACAAATACTTGTACTTTTTTGATGATGAGCGTGTTAGTTCTTCAAGTTTCAGCTCCACACAGTAGAACTGTCATGACGTTTGTATTGAAGATTCTGACTTTGATTTTGGTTGTCAGTTGTTTTGAGTTCCATATGTCCTTCAATTGTAGGAATGCTGCCCTTGCTTTACCAATCCTCTCCTTTACGTCAGAACCGGATCCTCCACGTTCATTGATGATGTTGTCCATAAACGTAGACGTTTCCACCTGTTCCAGAGCTTCTCTGATACGTGTGATTGGGTTGGTGTTTTCCGTGTTGTATTTGAAGATTTTATTTTCTTCCCTTGCGTATGTTGACGCCTACTGCTGTAGAGAATTCTACTACACTGGTTGTCTTGAACTGCATTTCTTGATGTGTATGGGATAGAAGGGCTGTTTCATCTAAGAAGTTCAAATTGTCTAGTTGCATCCAAGCTGTCCATTGTATTCCGTGCTTCTCGCCAGATATAGAGGTCGTTGTAATCCAGTCAACCACCGGAAGAAAGAGCAAGGGGGAGAGTAGGCAGTCTTGTCTGACCCCGGTGCTCACTTGGAATGTGATTGTCAGCTGTCGTCCATGCACGACATTGCATTGTAGTCCGTTGTGTGAATTCGGTATGGTGATGACGATTTTCTCAGGTACTTCATGGTATTGAAGAATGTTGTATAAGGTTCTATCTGCGCTGTCAAATGTTTTCTCATAATCAAGTAAGTTGCTGTATAGTGACGAGTTCCATTCAAGTGATCGTTCAACAATGATGCGTAGTGTCGCGAATTGGTCTGTGCACTACCGATCGTTACG